TACCGGTTTCAGGATCCCATGCAGAAAGCTGTATTGCTTCTCTAAGCAGTCGTTCAGCTTCTTTAACATCCAATATGTTAACTTTTTGTGAAAGCCTAAATAAAATATAATATTAAGTGAATATTCACAGTAGAAGTTTTGATCTGTTTAATTGTGGATTTAAATTTTTTTGGACAATTTCAAAATATATAGAGGTTATATTAAATAAATTAAATTCAATATAAAAATTTATCAAAATCTGCAACTATAATTGGTTGAACCTTCTTTCAACCAATTAAAGTTGCAGAAAAATGGGTAATACGGCAATATTAACCTCCATTGTATAGCGCTGTCTAAACCACCGTTTGATTAAGTTATCCCTTCATACAATACCGATGTACTATTCAACTACAAATGCCAACATTTTTGAATAGTATTCCCATAAGTCATATTATTAAATATATTGCGACATATAGCATTTACTGTTCCCCGGGTGCTATTCAAGCTAGTTTGGATTTTTGAATAAGACCGGGTACTATAGGCAGCGCTATACGGTACTTGCATCGTAATTTATAAGTATATGAATTTTAGTAGTACCATAAATTTAAATATACCCAAATTTCAAAATCAGCTAGTTTAGCATGAATTGTTAATGGGATGGGTTGATCCAACCTTCAACCCACCCATTTAATTAGACTCACACCAGATCCTACTTCAGATTGCACTAGATCTACTCCGGGTTGCACCAAATTTATAGATGTTCTTTTAAATCCACACCATATGTTGGATTTGATTCAACCCGGAGTGGCTCCAGAGTATAGTGCACTATTAGTAACCCTAAGCATAAGTTACCATAATTGTTAACTCAAATTACCTCATGCGTGCATGGGCTTCTGACAGTCTAATCATTGATTCCAGCTGCCTAGTCGTTGCAGTAATGATGTTTTCAGAAGAACGAGGGTCAATTCCGACTTTACGCAAATCTACATAAGCATTGATCAAAGCGCTGGCTGATTGATCATCTCCAATAAACGGGTGATAATTTTTGCGAGCGTATTTAATATATTTTGTTAAAGTCTTGATAGGCTATAAAACTATATGTTAAGTTTATGCGAATTTGAGAATTAGTATGTAATAAATTAAATTAACTCACCAAAATATCTCTTCTGGAAACATAAGAATTATCATCTCTGTACAAAGCAACTAAATGTCTTGCTAATTTTCTATCTGCACTCCAATCTACTTTATCCAATACTAAATAAATCAGATCAAATCTGAAGATCGAAAATATATTTATAAGTTGGCTATTTTCTGTCATTTTATATATGTGTGTAAATATAAGTTACAAATAGTTTTTATGTTACCTAGACATTAAAGTTGGTGGCAAATCAATATTTTTGACTATAGAAAGCTTTGGATTATATTTCGAATCAACCGGGTTAGCAGATGCAAGGACAGATGTACGAGCGTTAAGAGTTGTAATAATCCCAGCTTTAGCAACAGAGACAGTTTGTTGCTCCTATTTATATAAAGGCGAATGAATATAAATATTCCTTAGTGGTTTCTATAATAAATGAATGGTATACTAACCATCACTTCATGAAGGATAGCGCGTGTTCCATCCGACATTTTATCAAATTCATCAATACAACAAACACCGTCATCGCTAAGTACCAACGCACCACTATAAAGATAATTTTAATTTAGTGATTAATAAATATATTTTTAAGAAAGCTTGAGCGCAGATAAAAGTTATATAATTTTCACTAATATGCAATACACCTTTCTAGCACCATTTGTTTCGTGTCTGGATCTCTTGTGACATACGCGGTTAAACCAACCGCTGAGGACCCTTTTCCAGAAGTATAAACTCCACGAGGAGCAATTTTATGGACATACTAAAATGTAAAAAAAAAATGCATATTTACTGTCTTTATTGATAAAACTATATATTCTTCGGGTTTATAATACCTGCAGCATCTGAGATTTTGCAGTACCAGGATCACCGACCAGTAAAACATTCACATCTCCTCTGTATTGAGGCGAGCCTGATTTTGTAAATTTTTTACGAGTTCCTCCAAATAATTGTAAAAGTATACCCTTTTTAATATCATCTAATCCGTAAATACTTGGTGCTAAAGGTTGGTGATAATAAAGTTAGAAAGAGAACATATTATATAAAATTCACAAATAAACATAAAAATAAATATTTGATTTTACCTAGCGATTGTGCTAGATAATTATATAAATCAGGTCGCTTTGCCAAATTTTCAAAACATTGAATTTCTTCCTCTGTAAACTCTGGCCTAATCTCATGTCTGTTTGATGAAGTATTCATATCATCTTCCAGATTTACGATATTTACATCATCGTTTTCAGCGTTTAAATCATAACTGTTTTTGGATTAATATTTATTTATTTATTTAAAAAATATATATATTTAAAAATGATATCATTAGAAAATTATATTTTAGTTTTATTATACCTCAAATAATCATCGTGGCCAGATAAACTATTCAAGCGACTCTGATCTCTAGCAATATGAACGACGTCAAGATATGTCTTAAACAAAGCTTTAATAGTACGCTTGCGTGGATGAACCCGAATTGGCGTAGAACGATAAATGGCGGTTAATTCAACTCTGAAATTTTGGTAGTAATAATAAACATGAAACTCAAAATCAACAAGTTTAGGATTAATATATGAATTACTTGAGAAAAAAAAAAATAAAAAAAAATTACTTGTCACCAGGTCGTGCGGAATCGACTAGGTCATCGTATAAACAGACAGAAACAGAGTGAGGTGTTTGCCCATCGGGAATGTTGTCTATTAACATTTATTAAATAACATTTATTAAGTTTGATTAAATTGTCAAACCATGGCATTATAATATTTTAATTTTAAGATTAGGAAAATTACAAACCTGGGGTTTCTTGTAATCGACAAACTTGTCTATCTTTAAAAGAAGACCTATTGTGTATTAAAGTCATTGTGTTCGTTGAGTTACATTCACGCCTACGACATCTGTGAGGTTCGTCAATCTTGCCACGATCCACTTCAACCTCGACACAAGAATCACAAATCGAACATCGGAAAAATGCTTTTCAAAATAACGATTATTACTTAACAAACTAGTAATATATAATGATTAATTGAAAACTGTAGAATACATACCAGCGGACATTTCAGGGAGTATAGGTGAAGTCCTGATAAAAAGACCCTTGATAGATACTATTTTATCAATATCTGTTAAATGATCAATATAAAAAAAAAAATTTAATAATTTAATAATAATTTAATAATACAAAAGGTATAAAATATTGATGTGATAATAGTTTAAATAATTTCCTGCTGGATTCAAATCTCGCATGTTTGTAGACTTTCCCAGGTT